CTTTCCCTCTCTTTTCTCTCTGAAAAGAGTGTTCATTCCATTTCCTTCTACTTTTTCTATGGGTCTTACCCACACTATATGAGTCTAAAGGCAATTCAGGATTCAACATCCTAAAAGGTGTGATTGACGTGAAACACATCCATATGGTTAAATGCATATGAAATGAAATTTTAATTCACAATTGGTGAAACCGAGCAAGATTTTATGGATTTTAGATTATACATTTGCACAAGAGGTGAGGCCTAAATTGGGTTTGTTCCTTAGCTTCGCTTTGAGTCCACGAATGTCCTCCAAGATTTGCTTTGAGTTGAGGTTGAGTTTGTATAGGAGTTCGATCAACAGGTGACATAGGCTTGGTCTTGGAGTGGGTTAGAGTGCTTGGGAGAGGGGGGGTTTTGGGGGAAACTTCCTTTTTTGCTCTGGGGAAGCTTTTGAGCCGATCAGTTGCTAATTTGGTGGAGTTTGGTGGGATGGCCATGAAAGGTCCTGGTTTTGGGTGATTAAATTGAGCTTGGGCAAGGGCTTTAAGTGACTAAAAATGGTGAGATTGAGCTTAGGAAGGCTGGAGGAAGCTTTGAGAGCAATTTGGCAGGTTCTCCCCAAAGAATTGGCAGCACTCTTATAATGGTTGTGAGAGGGGTTCAATTTATAGCCATGAAATTAGGGCTCAATTGGCCAAGCCAGGGGGTGGAAAAGGATGCTTAGGTGGAGTTTTAAACGACACAACCATCCAATTGGCATGAGCCACATTGGATGGGTGGGATTTGAGGTTTAAACCAAGGTGGCTCCCCTCGGTTTTGGGTTTTCTGGAAAGTAGGGCTGCCGACCAAGCCAGGGGAGGAGGCTAACATTGTCAAGGAGGATCATGGAAGGTTTAATGGTGATTAGTTTGGAGGTTTGATGACTGATGGTATGAGGTAGAGAGCTTAGCCAAATTAGGATGGAAGGCTCAATGATTTGGGGGACCCTTAATCCATGGCTCAAGATTTTGTCCTTGGGTGATTTGATTAGCATCCTAGGGGGCTTACGAATGACAGAGATGGTTAAGCTTCGTTAATGAAAAAGACTCAAGCTAATTTGGATTTTAGGCTTGAAATTAGGGTTTGGGCTGACAGATGATCTTGGGCTTGACTTAGGCTTGGTTTAGAAATAAATTAAAGGGTCCAATTGGTTTAGGGGAATGCCTTTAGGAAGTAAATTCGGGGAAATTGAATTGGTCACATGGCTTGATTTGGTGAGATTTGGAGTTGGGTCGATTTTGGGGTAATTGAAGGCATGATTTCACGCTCACTACACCTTTTAAGATGTTGGATTCTAAATTGTCATGTGAATCACACCTAAGTAATAGAGTATCAGTCGGATGACGGGAAAGAGAAATAAGACGCAAGTAATACTCGGTCTTTTTAGAAACTTGTGGAATCGACCCCTTAGCAGAAATGACCCTCATATTTATAAATCATAGATGAGGTATTACAAATTATATGATTGACCCCCGTTTAATGGGGGTGTTACCATAAATTATAAGCTATTACACATTTACATATTTGTAACTGAATAATACATGTTTTGACCCTGTAACCGCTGTTGACATCGTTTTATATATGTGACTACGCTAGATGTCGTTTTGTATTCATGATTGTCTAGCTTGGTCACATGATATTCATTTGGTCGGCCCATAGTCATTAGGTTGACTGAATGATCCTCGATCGCCTTTTACGAGGGAACAAATTGTGAAGACAATCAAGCAGATTGTGTAACACCGTAATCTGATAACCAGCCCACCTTCGATTTATGTGTCTATATTGAATGACTTCTCTACGGGCAACCGTTGATCTTTATAATGACAGATGTTGATTGCTTAGGTGTCGACGCGGTCACGGTAAGTTTGTTGGGTCGATCAGTCCTTCGTTTGGTTGGCCTAAGAGGCTGATAGATATAATGTTGAATATTTTTACAGACATCTTCTTCATATGGTCCAGCGTATCTTCTCGAGATTCATACAGACATATTCCTTGATGTACAAAAAATTAATGGAGGATGAAGCCTTGGGCGAGGCAATAAGAGTATTCTAGCCTTCTTAATTAATATAAGATCAAATGTGGATTTAAGGTTCAATCTTTTTTAATTACTAATTAGATATAAATACACAAATATATGTTATATTGAATAAAATTTGTGTTGTTGAATCCAGTAAAAAAATTTCCGAGTTAATTATCAGAGCTACTCACTCGACCACTCGGCAGCACTAGCCGTTCGAACATCGCCGAGGTGGCGTCACCGACCGTCACCGCCGCGTCTCAGTCGCAGGCGGCATCTGAAGCTCCCATCTCTCCTCAGAAACACAACCAGAACTCGAACCAAAAGAAAAATAGGAGCTTTTCCTCCATTATCAAACCCAACAGCTCCGCGAAACTCTTGAACCAGACGATCTCCTCCCTATCTCAGCTGAAGAAAACTCATGCCCATCTCCTCCGCCGCAACCTCCTCTTCCACGCCGACCACTCCCTTGCCTCCCTCCTCTCCCACTACGCCTCTCTTTCCTCCCCTTTCTCCGCTTTCTCCGTCGCCATTTCTGCCCCAAAGGCCTCCCTCCATCTCTTCAATCGCGCCATCCGCGCGCTCTCAAAGTCTGGCCTCTCCCTCCGCCTCTACGCCCGCATGCCCTCCCTCGCCATCTCCCCGGACAACTTCACCTTCCCCTTCGTCCTCAACTCCTGCGCAGCCATGGGCGATCTCCCTGCCGGCGCCGAGATCCATTCCCGCCTCCTTCGCGCCGGCTTCGCCCACCACCTCCCTGTCGCCAATGCTCTCATCGACATGTACGGTAAGTGCGACCAGCTCCCCCTCGCCGGCCGCTTCTTCGACGAAATGCCCGTTACAGATCTCGTCTCCCACAACGCACTTCTGGGCGCCCACGCTCGTGTTGGCGAAGACATGCTATCCGCCAGGAAGTTGTTCGATCAAATGCCTGACAAGAACATCATCTCCTGGAACGCGATGATCGTCGGCTACGTGAATGCAGGGAACCTCGCCTCCGCAAGAGCGATTTTTAACGCCATCCCCTGCCGTAATTTGGTTTCCTGGAGTGTGATGATAGTGGGATACTGTAAAAAAGGATTGGTAGATGCTGCGCGGGAGCTGTTTGATGAAATGCCGCAGCAGAACTTGGTCTCATGGACTGTGATGATCTCAGGCTACATGCAGGACAGGCGGGCGAAGGAAGCTTTAGCATTATTCAACGACATGCAGAGGTGCGGCGTGGAGCCAGATTCCGCCACCATGACCTGCGTGGTATCCGCCATTACCCAGCTCGGGCGC